GTTGGAAGGTTGAAATCACCACAGACAATTTTGTAGGCGAAGTCAAGCGAGGCAGCCTTAGCAAATGACTCACTTATAATGGTGTCAGTCAGACTGGGGGTATTCGGAGCTCGATATATACATCCGATTAGTATTTTACATTCAAGGCTGTGTACAGTAAGCCACATCGAATCTGGTACTTTACTGAGGATATGATCACTAAAGATTTCCGTCCTCATGTTTTTTGATGCATATATGAGACAACCGCCACCCTTCTTGGTGACTCGGTCACAGCGGAAGAGCTCATACGTGTCTATTTGGAGGTACGTGTCTGTGATATCGGAGGACAACCAACTTTCCGTTATCAAAACAAGTGAGGGGTTGTGTAAAAGTAATAGGGCGCGTAGTTGAGTCATCTTATTCTGAATAGATCGGGCATTAATTAACATTAGTGTCAGGAAGGATGAGTGTTTGTCTAATAAAATGGTGTGCTGTAAACCCTGTGGTTTGTCGCTTTTACTATGAGAAGAGGAAAAAGTGGGAGTATTGGCTCTACGTTCTTGTTTGTTTAGTTTAATACCAGCATAGTTAACGGGAGAAAGGTGGTCGTAGGTTATTTTGGCGAAAGAAGTATGTTCACTAGTGTTGGGTAGAATCGGGTGAGTTATATGGATAGTCGGTGTATTCGGGGGGTGATCATGTTCCGTCAAGGAGCTTTTAAGACGAGAGACAGTTATCGACGGTGATAAAGATGTGTCACTCCCCATCAGGTCGGAGTATATAGAAGGTGGTCTCAGAATAGTGGAATTGTCGCCCTCAACATTTGGAGACCCCATAGCAATACTGTTGAGGGGGAGAGAGATAAAAAAGGATGAGGTGGTGTGTGTGCCAAATTAGGGGAGATCAGAGAGTTATAAAAGGTGGTTTGGTTCTGGTAGTATTTAGAATCGATAGGTGGGTCCCCAAGCAGGCCAACATTATGGTTGTCTTGTGTGCAGTGGGGTGTTCTACTCCTGTTACGGGTAGTTAGGGGAGTTGTATGTTTCAAATAATTATTGCATGATTGTCTGACATTGTTGCCGGGGATGGTGTTCCTGTTGTGTGGGCTGTGCTGATTCCTGTAACCTGCATGTTTTAAGCTATATGGCTTATTGGCATCATGCGTAAGTGTGGTTTTTGTCGGGCGTAACCTCACGTTAGGATATGGGGGTACTGCCAGTTCATTATGCTTGTTGTAATGCATTCGACTACTATGAGTAGGTGCGTGTTGTGTATTGAGAGATCTGGAGTACTTATGGGTGTTTAGAGAGAATTTGGTATTATTTCGCATTACAGTGTTTGGGTGGTTATAGCTATTAGAGCGATCGATGTGAGGCTTGGGTTTTGGCTTTTCATCAGAGCCACAAGAAGAGTGTTTTGAAACTGTAGATGCATAGGTGGGTGGGCATTTTGTTGTAGTTGAGTGTTTGGGTTTAGGGTGAATGGTTACAGCTGCCTGGTGTCTAGTCTTGTTCTTAGGACTAGTAGCAGTATGCGGCGTGCCTCCGTTTTTGGGAGGGGTGGGGTATGGTGTTTTAGGGATAGCGCTATGGCCAACGTTGTAACTGCCGCTACCACTAAGGCTGGGTTGATTGTTTTGCACTTCATTGGAGTTTCGACGTTGGATGGCAGTCTTGTCATGGGTGATTCTAACTTTCTTAAAGGTTGGAATGCGCCTCAGTAAAGACTGGCTTTTAAGGAGGTGATTGGCTTCTATGATACTACCAAACTGAAATAGAATGGGACAAGAGGCTTTAGTCTGTGTTTTACGTAATCTTCTCGCTACACACCAAGATTGCGACAGTCCACATTCTTGTAGTAGAGTATTTTTAGTAAGCTTTAGATTCGTTCTATCAGGTACATTATACGCAATGACATTGTGCATACACTGAAGTCTTTTCAGCACTTCAGCTGATATGTGGTCAATTATTTTTTCAGTGTTTTTTATAATTTCGAGATCAGGATTTTCCGGAACACTGATTAGGTATTTATACGGTAATAGGTCTTGAATAGTTTGGGTGAGGCTAGATTTTATTTGACTGCTTTTAGAACTATCACTGGTGAGATTATTAGAGTCTATATCAACATTATTATGGTTCATTTGGTTGCATAAACATTTGTTGCAACTGTCTACCGGGTGGTCATCTTGTGCGTACTTAGTTGGGGGATAAGGTATATGTTTGGGTGAGTAGTCGAGATCTACATTATTAGGCTGGCTACTGTAAGTGGGCTTATGTGCACTCTGTTGGCCATTACACAGGATGACCGATTGTGGATTTATTGTGTGTATGGGGTCAACCGCACTGTCTAAATACCGCTCACAACGTGTAATGTGTGGGCTGTCAAATGATGTCGGGGTAGGCGGTAGGTGATTACTCTTATTTATATCTACAAGCGAGATGCAAGGTAGTGACAGGTCATGTCCAAGTACATGGTGCACGTCTAGTGTAGCTGTAGGAAGATCAGAGTATGATGCAGACTGATCAGTGTGTTTAGAAAGCTTCACATTATTCGCGTGAGTGGTGGATTTAGATCTTTTGCACGTGCTATGAGCATCAGGAGAGATTATGTGCTTTTTAGATGACCTGGACATTATTAGAAGTAATGTAAATATAAATTTTGTATTGGGTGAGCAGCGACTGCTGTATCTTTACTTACTAGATGTGTAAAGTTTTATGGTAGAGTCAGATCAATATTTGCTAATAGCTAATATATTAACGATAGTGAAAGAGGAAGGGTGGTCAGCGTGTGAAATAGTGAGCTTAATGTACTACGTTGAATCACAGGATGGGGTGTCAAATTAATAGAGCCCTATCAGAAATGAAGTATTTTTTCACTAATGAATGTTGTTAAATTAGAAGGAAACACTAATAATAATAAAAAGTACAACCACGTGAAAAAAAGTTACAACCTTCAAAAGAAGCGCCAAAACTGATATTTCTCTACAAAGCAGATCTATCATTATAGTAGTACTAATACCGAAGTGGACCATAATTATACAGACACTTCTCCTGGTCCAGTTATGGTCCATTCTACTATACTGAGGGAAGCAGCTTTAATCTAGACTACACCGCCTGGCGTGATGTTCCCACATCCGCTAAGTTGAGGCACGTCACCAGAAATTCGGAAGCCGGCTCACAATACCCTAATTTTCAAAGGAAGTTGTCGCAGCGAACCTTCAAGCTATAGGCTGTTAACACTCAGCTCAACACCGTCAAAAATTATGGAGTCCCTGATGTGGGACGGTCTATGTGACTACTTACTAAATATAAACTGTCAACAACACCAACGGCACGATTCCGGCAAAGGTCACTATTGTATAAACAACTTGCTGACTTCAGCGGACAGATGGACAACCATCCTTGAACGCAAGAGGGAGATCATTGTCATAAACCTAGATTTCTCATAACCTTTCAGTAGGGTCGATCATATATACCTCATCATTAAGCTCAAACAGTTAGGTATCAAGTCACCAGTTATCGACTGACTTTATATCCAAATAATTAATTTTTTAAGGTTAAGGTTAACATCCCTTTTACTCAGTCTACAGAGTGTCCTAATGAATTCGTCTAGGGTTCAGTATTAGGGCCTCTTTTCTTAGTTTACATAAAGGATTTTCCACAGCAGGTATTGTCAGATTTATTACATTTCGTTGATGTTGTGAAATTCTAGAGAGACGTTGGCAACCAAGATGATAGCCTGGAACTTCGGGGGGATCTGACTCGACTGTGAATTTGCGCAAACAACAACGGATTTACCTTTAAAAATCCAATGTTCAAAGTAGTCCACCTCGGTCATGTTGAACACTATGCACGAAACTTAGGAAGCTCCCCTTTAGAGGTTTCACAAGTTGTAGAGAATCTAGGAGTGTTGGTACCCTGTGATCTGAAGCTTTGCATTGGCTGCAAAAAAAGTGCCTCTAGAGTAAACCATGAACTTGTAACGTTGAAGCGCATTTTCAGCTAGTTTGCCAGCAGAAATTCGCACCTAGTCTTCGACAGTTTTATTCGACCCTATTCAGATTATTGAAACATAGTGTTTCCTCCTCCACTCCAAAAGGATAAGGAATGACTGAAGCGTGTCCGAAGGAGAATCACAAAATCAGTTCGAGGACTAAAATTTAAGTCTTTTGACGAGCACTGAACCTTTACCCATCAGACTACGGGCGTCTTAGAGGTGACCTGACGACTTACAGTATCCTAAACACTTCAGCGCACCTCTTAACCATTTATCTAAGTTTAGTCTAAGCACGAATCTTGAGAATAACACTCACATACTGGAGACACAACACAGCAGAACGGACTGTGGGTGCACATCCTACTTCCTAAGAGTAATCAAATGCTGGCTGATGTAGTCCAATCGACTACACAGGAATACATCAAAAGAAAACTTGACATATTCTCAAGGACTAAGGAAAGTGTCTCTCTATAATTTATCAATTCGTTTTTTACTTTTACAGTTGAATATACCTAGGTTCTTACCTGGGGCATTAGTGGTCCACTGCTACTATATTCGGAGGCCCACTAAGTGACAAATTCTTCCATTCCGTCCAGGACCATTTAAACTATTTGAAAACACTGCTATAACGGGATAACTGCTGATTGCAGCAATACTATCAACATAGAACTAGCATAACCTATATATGCTCAAGACATGTAAACCTCCAAATAACTGTCGAATTCACTAGAAATAGTGTGACTGAATGGATAAAATATTAACATTCGACGACATTGAAGACATGTAGTTGTACACAAATGTTAGGAAGTGGGAGCAAATAAATGAACAGGCTCACATTATCTTGTCACGAAAATACTGGGTATCAGATAACTGAACATTGTTGTAGGACATCGATTCCACGAGTCTCTTTTAGGTCGATGCCGAAGTGAATAGATGATTAATTACTACTGGACACAGAGGCTTATAAGGAGGAAGGCTTTTCGATTCTACACATGACAGTTTGAAGCTGTCAGTTTCAGTTTCAGTTTGGAAAGGACAGGAGGCTTGATAGATTGTGTTAGTTCTGTTAGTCTGTTATTGGAGATTGAACTGCTTTAAACAATCGATTTTTAGCCACATCTTAAGGTCTTCGTGTTACTGCGCTGACATCAAATTCTCACCTACGTTGCAGTAAAGTGATGAACAGCAGGTTTGGGCGCAAGAAGACTAAAAATCCCCCGTATTTTTCTCATGAATTTATTATTACAAATCATGGGGACATTGTCAGTGTTTTAGCGATGATAATCATCGTTGGTTTGCTGCACAAGGTTTGCCGAAGCAAATAAACTAAGTTCATTTAACCTAGGGAACCCATGTTTTGTCTTCATCTTTCATATTCATCCAATACAATAACACCGACGAAAGTAGGTCATTGTGGATCTGCATTCTAAAATTTTAGACCAAGAAAATGCCTTATTATACAGCCCAGGAGCAAAAGATTTATGCGTAATATTTTTTTACACTCTTATTTGTATCGTGTCCCATGCTGTACTTCAAGAGTATCTCTTTGACGTAAGTTTTTTAATATTGGCAACATTTGTCATTCAGAAAGTGACTCGGAAGTTAAGTTTGACAAAGGTTCGGCTAGCTAAATTCAACGAATCTGCCCACCTTGCATGTTTTTATGCTTTGTCCACAGTTTGGGCCGTTTACAGTATTATTAACGAAGGTTTTATAGAGAATTTAAACAGTTTGTGGGATAATTATCCGCAGAGATGGCTGCCATTTTGGATCAAATTATTTTTCATCACTCAAGTAAGATATTTTATCAACTATTATTTCCAGATTTGCTACTGGCTTCATGACTACCCAGAGCTTTATTTTCAGCGTGTCAAGAATGTAAGTACTGTGTTTGAAAACTAAATGCTTGGCAGGAACTCATACCTGCACGACTGTTTCATGCAACATTATATCTTCTTAGCATATCTTTGGCATATGTTGGAGGGTAATTATCGAAAAATGTAAATAGACTTTTAATTTAGATTAACTAAATTATGTATGGTCGTTCTTGTTCTTCACTACGGTACTGACTTCTTCTTGCACGTTTCTCGGGCGTCGCACCTTGCGGAGTACAAGTTTGCATCCATTGGGTAGGTGTTTAGTGTTACTTACGTTGTTAAGTTTTACCATATGGAATTTGGCTTTCATACCAGTACGAATGGCATGCGTAATCCTTGGTTTTCTCACCTTTCAGTGAGTTACATGCAGCTGATAATGTCTTTCTTTAGTCATGGTTTAGGAAAGTATTCTGTAACGTTGGTGAAAATTACCGATGGAAATTTCAATACTCCATCCATAAGGTATGTCATTTGTTTAGTAAACTCTCTCAAAACATTTCACTCATATATATATATATATATTTGTTACTGCTTTGTAAGCCAATATTATATTTGTGTATTCTTATTTCTAAAAATTAGATTAAATCAATACTAAGTTTCACAGTAAGGTGCAATATTACTTTTCGTAAAATATTGAAAGTTCATAGGTAATATAATTAGGTCAGCACAGTGCTTCCAGGTTTTCGATGGTGGTGTAGCTTGAATTGACCCATGATTTCAACTATGAAAAAGAAAAACATAACCTCAATCGGCGGAGTAAAATACCGCCTTAAGATTGAGGTATAACTTTTGTCAGGCCTTGGCATGTTTATGTTTCAAAACATGATGAAGAGTATATGTGTAATCAATACACTTTCATCAAAGTCTAAACAAACTTAATTTCGCCAGGTTTGTTGTTCATAGGTTCTTTTTATGCACTAAATGGTTATTGAAACTAACAGTTTAAATAGATACATTGTGGCGAACATCACTGTTGTGATTGACCAACTGCGTATTTAGTTTTGTCCTTGAAAGTTAAGCTGCTACTTTAATCGCTTCTAGATCTGTCTGGCACAATAAGACATAAAAAAACTAGTATTTTGGTCAATACATCACGATCTAGTCAGCAGAGCATGAATGTCCGATCACCACTCAAAGTAGCATATACTAAACTGCCAGTCAGTCACAACGTAGAACTTCGTACGTACATACGTACATCAGTTCGAGTTGCCATACCACAGCACAAAGATGCAGTTGTCTACTAAACTGTAAAAAACAATCGAGTATTAGTTTACTTTAACATTGGAAAGTGAAATAGTTCATTACATTGACTAGTTCACCGTCCTGGTCATTTCTTGCGAAAGGACAGTAATGGAATATAATCCAACACAGTTCCACATAAATTTACATCAGCAGTTACTATAGCGTAACTAGCTGGAAAGACTAAATAAAAAAGAATGAAATAACAACCTTAATTGAAAGCATTGTAATCGAGACCAGTTTAGAGTGATATCGGTTAAAGTTTGTCTATTAATTTTGTTTAATGAAAGTTTGAGCTCATCTCATGTTCTATAAAAATTTTACCCAAAGATCTACTTAAATTTAACAGTGATCCTGGTCTTTCCTTTAACTGCAGTCGTTAACACTGTTCAAGAATCAGAGAAGCGTAAATGATTAGGATACAGACAATCAGTAATATAATATGAAAAACCTAGTTACATTTTCGTATCATTCTGACTATTTTGTAAGTATGTTATTCATGATTTCTAGTCATTATCTCCTAACCAGAATGAGGATCTGAAATCAAGCAATTCAGTATCTGGTTATCAGGACAGTGTAAGTATATGTATGCTTTCTGTCCAGTTACTTTTCGATTATTTGCAACGATCCGTCACAAAGAGTAATTTTCGGTATATGCTTCTGGGGTGGTGTTTCATAGACATAACATTTCGGTTATGTATAGTACATCCCATACTAAAAAGTACTTCCAGGTTATTTGCCATCACTAGTCAAAGATCCTACATGATTTATCTCAGTCTCTGTCCAATGCATGAATATATCCGTCCTAAAACTTGGAAATCGTGTTTTTATCTCCTATTCACTATAGTCCATTTAATTATTCTCTAATGTTACTTTTTGATAGTATTGTTGTGGCTTAGCTTCGTTAATCAATCACCTTGATAACTGTTAGCATATAATTCCCCAACGGTGTCTGAATTCAGAAGGCAATAAGAAACGACAACTACAGTTTATTAGCGCATAGAACAGATAACAAAGTTACAGGCGCATCGAGCGAATTCGAAGCAGATAGGCTAATGTATGTGAGTGAGCGAATACAGAAGTGAATCGCATGAGGACGCAACAAGGCAAAGGTTATTAATGGGATTCGAGCACATGCATATATGTTAAAGAGAATGATTCATCAAGCGATATTTAAGATATTAACATTGTTTGTTAAATAAGTTAGTAAAAGGGTTTGACAAAAGTTAACCATAATCGTAATTAACCGCAGGAGTGTTGCTGCAGCATTAAAAATTACACTGATTTAAAGGGATACATTGTTGTTAGAGATTTTATCTCGAGATGGGAAATTTCACCAGTTATAATTTGTGTGCATTGGATCATGCTTCATGTGTATAATTTAATATCCGTAAATAAAATTTTGTTGCCACCACAGTGATAATGAAGCAATAAAAGGGCTTTAAACAGTGATATATATAAACACCCTTCAAACCACTTCTCACACATATTGGGATCATTCAGTAAGATGTGCTTATAACAGTAGAGTACCAAGTGAAAAGAAGTTCTACTTTGTGACCGACTTACTGAAAAGATTTAGTCGATAAGGCTGTAGATTTTTATCGATTGATGTAGTTGTAACATATTTTAATTATGTCATACTACTGTTTATTGTACTATTCTAAATATTCTTAGAGTATGTCGAACGAAAGTTAAAGAGAGCAGGCCATGTCATTTGACTGGTTTATAGGGTCAATATGAATTGATACAGTTTTCGCCAAATCCTTGGTTTTATTTTGTTTACATAAGTGTACTTCATTCCATACAATACTCATGTAAATATATTTATTGTTACAGAATCGCTGCAATGCTACTTTTCTTCACTACACAAGCTTTAATGGTATGGAATTTCATAACTTTCCATCAACGGCATCGTAGAGACAAGCAACAATCCCATACTTCTAAGAGTTGGTTCTTTACTAGTCAAGATTCTGGACAGCGGAAAAAAGAGAAGAGAAAAGGTACATACATACTTTCTGTAACTATGCCGTATGATAAGTTTCTTTATGTCCGAACATCTTTATTTCTCTATTCCAACAGCTACATAGTCATGCCCACCCTGGCTAGTCTAATTAGGTTAGATGGCAGACTATTTACTTTCACAATCTAACGTATGTCAGTAGTCTAAAATGTTAGGTGGTTGGAGGCAGTTGATGAGAAACCATGGACCTATGTGCTGTGCTAGCCGGTACTTATCAAAAAGAGGTGCCTGCAGGTTGGTAGTGTAAGATGTTCTGTTTAAGATTTTGAGAATCACTTATGACTACCGTTCCAAAGTACTGAGGAAACTACTATATAGGTATGAGCTGTCAACTATAAGGACTTAGGTGAATATACTTAGCATGCCATAGAACAAAGTTGAGAAGAGATTTTTAGTTAAGGGCCTCATCAACACAGATATGTCGCACTTACCAAAATGTCAGTGCTCTTAGGTAATGTACTGACATGAATCATTGATTGATAAAACTAACACTTACGCACCCAGTCATCAGTTTTACGAACTTCACTCTACCTAATAAAGTGGCTTTCATTATTTATAGTTTTACACAAATGTTATGATCGGAAATCATTTAGTTTGTTTTATTACACTACACTGAATATGGATTTGCGTTTATTAGTGAGGATCTAAGTTCAGATTCTCTGTAATTAATACTTGGGAACGGTTGTTCATAAGACGATAACTTCTAATAAGCCCATTGTTCTTTTTTATTATTTGTCTACCTGCTGTAATGTAGACAGTTAATTGACTATGTAAAAGTATGTGATAGTTTGATTGAACGCATATCTGTATCTCAATCGTTATCTATCCTCCCATTGGTTGTAGACAGACAGTCAATAATTTACCCACAATCGATTCACACTCTCGTTTCCCAGTGTGCTCGCCTTTCGAGTGCTTGCGAATCTTATTAATTATTGACAATACATTTCCAACAACTGGTGTTCTGGCTTTTGAATATTCTCGAGCGAATTCATAGTACTTGAAAAATTGGCATGCTTCAATACTCAGTTAATTGGATATCATCTATTGGAGTCAAATTTAGGGGAATTAACCCCTACACCTTTGACATGGAGAAGGTCAAGCATTTTATGGAACATTTCTCAGTGACAAAACCATGTGACCTATTTATGAACTGTTCACTCACACTGTCCCCAGACTACTTTATTTATTCTATCTGGAGATAATGATGAGCCACCCAAGTATTACAAGAAAATAGGAGTCAGTAAATTAAGATGTATTGCAAAAATCCTCATAACGTGGAAATTCATTTGTGGGCTTTGGTGTCTAGAGAATTATGATAAGACCTACTGAAGAGAGAGTAGATCCTCCAAAGCTACCTCTGGACAAAAATCCTCCTCGTCATTTTAAGCTTCTAAATTGACCTTAGTAACATGATAATAAACATACCTTTGGGATATCTTCGAACACAGCTCCAAGAGGTATTCCTCCTACAACTTTTCTGAACTTAACAGGATCCAAATGAATGCATTCTCGTAACAGCGTTTAATCAGAGTCCAAATGTGTTTTCTAGAAAAAAGCTGTAATCTTCTTTTGAACCTCTTCAACCTAACAATATTGTCCGTGTTTATTGTAAAACTAATGTCGCAAGTAACCGAATCAAACAGTGTGTACCTATCCTTAAAGTCGGCTCTTGTTAGAGACAAATACTTTTTCAAGCACACTCATAGCAGTCAGCTACTGTTATTTGTTCACTGAATTGAAGCATCAAAGCCTCTCCTAAATATCATTCAGTTCAACTTAGCCTGAAAATTGAACTCACTTGTTGCTTTATGGAGGTAAAAAATCTTTTGGTGGAAATCATTTTTGAATTCATATGATCTGCAGTTAATGGAAACATGCGTATAAAGGATTACTAAAAGGCAACAACGTTTATTTCTATCCTCCCAATTTCCTAGTTCCATTTAATAGTACAGCACACAAATGACTATTCGCTGAGATGCAATCCAAAAACATGTACTAAATCATAAGAAGTTACTGTCGATGCCGGTTTTCTACATTGGCTAGGGACGATCAATTAAATGATCGGAGACCGGTATACATCAGTATTCTCACTAATTAGTTCCCTTTGTTATCCTATTGTGTTGTATTCAGTTGGTTATTCTGTATTTGTATGAAATCGAGTTGTTTTAATGAATATATTATGATACATATGTATCATTGAATTACGATTGAATGCCATCATATTACAGCGTTGGCTCACTGAGTTGAAAATATAGAATACGTTAAAATATAAGACCTAGATGTTTACTTTTCTCTTTGAATAAACCACACTTTAGTTAGATATGTTGAACACAACTCGCTTTTGAATAGTTTCGTAATTGCTACGTGTAAAGCGCACTATGAATCGCAACGATGACATACACAAGTATTCTCTTGATTTATTCCTGTATCCAGGTAAGTGGCAATTAGACACAAGAATAAGTTGGATTTTAATACTATAGTATCTACGTCTGTTTATAATTTTTTGTGAATTTTATACTCTTCATATATATTAAAGTTAAGCGAGAAGATGAAGATACTAGCGACCAAACTGAAACTGACCAGAATCCACAACCAAAAGAATTAAAACGACGAAAGCCGATCAAAGTGCGTTCATCATAATAACTACACATATATATAACCTTCCTTCTACTTTCATTGAAAGTTTTTAAAATTGTTTCTATTCATTTTCTCAACTTGTTTTTTTCTCTTGTAAATGTAGACTACTTTCGGTATTTAAGAATAAAGGTCCCTTTTTTTGTTGTTTAAAATGAACAAATAGGAAATGCTTATTTTTCACTTTCAAGTTGTTGCCACATATTAAAATATTTTACATCTTTGTTGCTTTAATTCTAGCCAATTTTCTTTTTCTTTTTTAAAGAAGCTTTGTGTATGTGCTAGTAAATAAGTTGAGTAAATGAATCCAACAATTGTATATTATTCTTAATTCGAGTATAATTTACACTTTTGGTATTTTGTCTTTCTTCGAATACATACCCCATGATAGGGGACTAAAACTGTATCGCAAGAAGAAGTGAAATGATATCAACTTGGAAATGGTAAGATTATGTAGGAAATGAACATGTAAACATAGGCGAACGTAGGCTAACTTCTATCAGTTGAAAAGGACATTCAACTGTTCTTAAAAATCACAGTACTACAATAAAATCATAAATAACTTCCTTAATAAATCATCTAACAATACTTAACGCTACTGTGTTACACAATATACGAGACCCCGTCAACGGATGCTAATTTGTACCTAGTCTCAGAGTTGGTAAAAGTAGTGAACGAGTGAGGCATGACGAAGCCGCTGTTTCGGGATAAAAAAACATAGTTGTCATTTGTACGATGATTAAACATCGCTGGAGTCCAGTGTTGTTAACATGGTGTTGGAACCAGGTGTAAGATATCCTTCATAGCGAATGTAGGTACAGATTACCGATATATTGATAAGGCAAAATAGAAACCATATTTACAGACATTTCTCACCAACTTATTGAGTTTCCTCTAGATAGACTAAATCATTACATAACAAGACGATATCGTCTACGTACTTGAGCAAAGTATTTTATTCGAGAGCATAATTACACCGTAAATAAAATCCTGCAATAGGTTTGTTGCAACAGCAACAGACAAAAATTTGAAAAATAACGGCGATATAGGGTAACTCTGTCTTATTTCACTGTTGATCTCGATGATCGCAGAGAGATGGCTGTACCTCCATGCTCTTCCTAATGTGTCTTTGCACAAGACCTTTAATATATAAGTAAATCTAAATGCAGTCACATTCAAAAAATTTCCATAATACAATACTAATCAAGGAATTGGAGGGATATTCTTTGTTGAAACTCGTAAACCGCCTTTTTTCCAAATAAATATGGGATAGAAGGCCAGGAAGCGAAGGATAGTTATTTTACAATTTAGAGAAATCCACTGTTAATTATCCTTTACATATAAACATATATTTCGAAAAAAGAAAATACAAAAATTAGTTAACTCCTCGATTTGCATATGGTTTTACTCGGAATATTCGTACAAGCCAACTAGAAGAAGTAAATGCTTCCTCTAAACCGTGCAATTCATAATTTCGATGCCCAATTACTTGACCACGTACACGATCAAATCCATGTGGCTTGGCTGTGAAAGAATTTAAAAAATGGATTTGCATGGTAACAAAGTGAAGGAAATCGCAATTCTTCAATATTAAAGATAATAGAGATAATGTATTGGTAAATATTTAGCAAGAATTTATTCCTCTGCTTTATAGTCGTGGTTAGTGATTAGAGACATTAAGTGATATGGCTTAGAGCTTATCACAGTGGTGCAAATGAATTCACCCATTAGTTTATTTACGACCTAAGTTCTAGTATTCTTTCTTGAATCATTTTAAAAAAAACATAATTAAATGGACTGAACGAAGAATATTCTTTTCAATAATTTCTCATCTGGTTTTACAATTATATATCCGAATTCAGAAAACAGTGGATATAGACAACATAATTCAGGACGAAGGAACGAATTCAAGGAATAAGGTGTAAGACCGCTTCAAAACTCCAAATTTAATGGTAAACGAAAAGTGAATATACCTGGGCCAATTGGTGGAAAATAAGCCACTGTGTGATCGCGACGAAAGAGTTATCTCTAAAGAAGTCTATAAAAAGCTAAATAAAAGCGGGGACCGCGGACAGTTCTAAAGAACACGAGATTAACCTGGTAAGTAGTGTTCCAGTATAGAGCCTGTACAACATTGACCTACTTCCTTGGTATGTCTTTCAATCACACAAATTGCCATAAAAATTGTTGATCAAACAAGTCGAACCCGGTCTTAAGGTCGTGGCTTTTAAAAATAAGTTTTAGTACTAATATACCTCACATAGTGCAAGCTTAAGTACTCGACTTCTGGTCTCATATTAAGGCTGAAAACTAATGATACTACTTGGCTATCGACAACGTTGTGGTTGAAAGTCAAATGCCTCATATTCACTGAGCCCGTGTACATGGATTCCTTAATAGGTTTAAACACTCCGCTGGATGTATATCAGTATTCTGAAGACCTTCGTCTAGTTATCCCTAACATCAACATTGTTCACTCGATCGTTTCATCAAGGGCAAAGAAAGCTTGGAAAAACATCTTTGATCGAAACCTGTAGTCTACACATGTATTTCGCTTTCAAAGACCAAGTTTCACAGCCATATTGAAATATTGAGTAGTACACACGCTATTAAGTGAGCAAGCGGACATCTCGCTTGTGCCAAAAGTCACGTTATTTGGCAAGGTCTAACTAGGTTTTCTGAATCCGTCATGAGAATTTGTCAGACACCGACCCATTAGGGCTGATAAAACTTCCAAGACAAGTGAAATGATCAATGCACTCAACTACTTCAATTTCTATCATTAGTTCAAATGATGATGCAGACCAGTCCTGAAGCAAAATTTTGAATTTACAGCAAGAGGAGTGTATTCTAAATAAGTTTACGTTATGACTAGGATAAAAGTTAAATCACATATAAAAACTTACTTTTATCAGTTTTCATTTCCCAGAATCGATAATAACTAAGTTTGTACAGTAAACAGTTTTGCATTGTAGAACTAGCTCTATCATCTACACGCATTTCACCATGTGGTGAATAATAATCATTTTCATGTACATGACGACCTTTTTCTGTACTACCAGCTATACGTACCATCCAAATAAATTTATTGATATCTATTATAAAAGAATATAGTTAAAGCACGTTTTGGTAAACGAAAATAAATGGTCTTTAAATATATAACAAAGTGTGATATTGCGGGTAATGGTATATTGTTTAATAATCTATTAGATGCCCCCAAATGCCCTGGTACGGCCGAGAGTGAAGAGAATCCGCTCTCCCTGTCGAAATGCTCTCACATGGCCACGCGTATATAGCCTCTGCCACGGAAGTCCTACTCATTGCCTTCTCGTGGCGGGGGTGTTGTTTACGAAAGTGAGAGGACGAAAAGCGAATATCCGGTGCTTTAACCAGGTTGGTGGACACGGAAATTCACCTAGGGGAGTTGGAAAACCCTCATTCCAAACCAATGGTGCACATGGGCTCCAGTATCCTGAAGGAACAAATGGCGGATGAATCAGTCGTTTGTCACCGGCTACCATGGGACTGCATCTCCTCACGATGCTCCACTGCCTTGTGGACTAGACCTTCAGGTCAAAGGCTGGTGGTGTGGCCCCCTAAGAAAATCACCAGCTTCAGTTTGGGCATCTGGGCAGTATCACAGCCCTTGCACAAATCTCATTCGATTTGTGCGGCGCATATGTATCTGGTGCTTCCTTGTACCAATATTTATGTGTTTAAATAAAATAAATAAATAAAAATCTATGAGATGATAATTTTTAGTGTCATCATTATGTTTGACACGTATCATAAGCTATGAACACCAACCAATAAGTGGTGGTACTCGGCTAGAATTATTAATAAACATTCAAAGATTACCACTCTTACTAGTAAACACTGGTAGAATATAACAAGAAATATCCTTTCATAGTGTTGGCAACCGTAAGAAGACAACCGCTAGGGGAGGCCAGACCAAAACATGGCACAAGTCTATGAAGTCACTGACAAGTGGACTGAACCATGTTGGTAGGTGTAAACTACCTGGTTGGGATCCGCGAGATGATAACAACCAATGGTTAGAGACCTTGAATAATATGGCTCAAAATCGTTTACAATGGCGAAGGTGCATCCACTCTTTGTGTTCTGTCAATTACTAATCTTCTGGATTTTTCGTGCCCATTTCCTTTTTCTCTTTCCAAATTTATTTCACTGGATTATACTCCTTCAATAACATCTTCAAACCCTAATCTTTCGGATTACTGCTTATACACTGACTTCTTCTACCACTATGGGATTTGAATCGACAACTGCATCTCTGTGTTACTGTGGTATGGTAACTCGAACTGATGTACGTACGTATGAAGTTCTACGCTGTGACTGACTGACCATTACCAACACTTCAGACTAATTGAAGGACTGAAGATAGTTTAGTTAAGGTACTCAATTTCTAAATCCAAAGTATTCATTTCTAGATGTTACAATAAAAATGATTTTATTGTTTATATTTGTTTGTGAGAGAGGATCTATGATTCATGTACGATAAGTTGTTACGTCAGACCAATGCAATGGCTATACCTTACTTAACCTGTCAGTCAGTCAGTCAGCTACAACGTAGGACCAGGCACATATATGCATCGGTCCAAGTTGCCATACCTCTTTAGCACAACAAGATGAACACCGGATTCATAGAAGTAATTAATTTAGTGGTGGTAGTATATAAGGAAAGGTTGTATATAAGGATATAGTAGGAAGGAAGAGAGATATGAAGCAATTTTAATATCAAGGTTTAAGGGAAGATAAAGAGTGTATACACCTACGCCATTGTGATCGATTCTGAGCCATGTCACCTAGAGTCTCCAACCATTTATTACGATAGTCACGCGGACCCCAACCAGGTAGTCTGCATCTGCCAACATGGCTCAGGCTAGAAGTTAGTGACTTCAAGCACTGATGCCATGTTTTGGTTTGGCCGCCCCTAACTCTCTTCCAACCGTCTCCAATACTAGTCATCATAGCGCGTCGTGGTAATCGGTGTTCAGGCATACGTAACACATGGCCCAACCATCTCAGTCGATGAAGATTTATCACCTCATCAACTGATTTACCATCGTTACCTAATACCCTGCGTCTAACCTCACTATTACTTACCCGGTGATCCCAGCAGATGCGAGCAATATTTCTAAGGCATCTGTGGTCAAATACTAGTAACCTACGAGTATCTTCTACTCTTAATGGCCATGTTTCACAGCCGTAAAGTAGAACAGAACGAACTGCTGCGCAGTATACTCGTCCCTTAATTGATAGACGGATATCTCGTCTTCGCCATAGGTGACGTAAGTTGGCAAAAGCCAAACGAGCTTTTTGAATCCGTGCTGAGATTTTGTCAGACACCAACCCATTAGGGCTGATCAGACTTCCAAGATAAGTGAAGTTGTCGACGCGTTCGACTACTTCACTTCCTATCCTTAGTTCAGGTGTTGACGTAGGCCAGTCCTGGAGTAACAATTTACATTTGGATGGGGAGAAACGCATCCCAAACATCCTGGCATTATTACTCAGTTCCAACAGAAGACTCTGCATTTTGTCAGTGTCTTCACCAAACAGGACTATGTCATCTGCGTATTCTAAGTCGCTTAGTGGTCCCCCTGGTAGGAGATCAATTCCTGTAAACTCAGTCGACGAGAGTGTCATTTGCAGCAACAGGTCTATAATGAAGTTAAACAAAAAGGGGGATAGTGGACAGCCTTGACGGACACCACTTGAGGTTGTAAAATCATATGACAGTTCGCCATAAGCTCTCACCCGACTGATAGTGTTCGAGTAAAGAGCCTTCACAAGGTTTATGTACTTCTCAGGTACACCTTTCAATGACAGACACTGCCACAGAACCTCTCGGTCTACAGAGTCAAATGCTGCTTTCAAGTCAAGAAAAACTATCATTGTCGGACGCCGATAAGTATGTCTGTGCTCTAAAACTTGACGAATGGTGAATATGTGGTCGATACAGCCACGACCAGGTCTGAAGCCAGTCTGATTTTCTCGTGTTTGCAGTTCACGAGTTTTAGTTAGGCGCCTGATAATTATTGAGGCTAGTATTTTAGATACTATGTTAGTCAGACTAATCCCTCTATGGTTATCGCAGGATGATTTTGACCCCTTTTTATATATTGGGACAATCAGTGATTGTGACCAGTCGGATGGGATTACATCCGTCTCCCAGATTTTAGCCAGAATATTAGTCAACCTAATCGCTAAAATTGGACCACCATATTTAAAGACCTCTGGAGCCAATCCATCAGGACCAGCCGCTCTTCCTCGTTTCAGATTACCTATAGCCTTTTGAACTTCAAGTAGGGTCGGGGGGCCTACTTCAATGTTCCATTCAGGTTTTCTAGGAATAGTGGGTAGTTGTGCAGTAGCTGAAGGCCAGCTAAACTGCTCCTTAAAGTGTTCCGCCCATCGTTCTAAACGTTTGGGTAGAGAGCAGATAAGGGTTCCATCTTTTTCCGAGATCGTCTCACTTACACTTGACTTCTTAATTCCAGTTTCTTTTATTAGTCTGAATAGTTGCCTGGTGTTGCCTACAGCCGATGCCTTTTCCATCTCTTTTGCTTTCGTTGCCCACCACTGCTCACGATCGTTCCTTAGACTTTTAGTTAACCTAGATCTAATTTGTTTACGCTCTTCGTCATGTTCAGAGCCTGATGGTATGAGTTTACGCGAATCCATCAGTGAAATAGACTTAGAAGAAATCCACTGGTTTTTTGGAGCCCTATGGTTTAAATGACTAATAGATGTTACTGCCGTTTCCACAGCTGTTCGTGTCTTTCCAAGCAGCATCTGGGTCAGTCTCGTTTACAGAACTGCCTAGATGTGAACTCAGTTGTCTCTGGAATTCGCATTTGGCTTTCTCGTCCTCCAGTTCAATCCTAACGGGTCTTCTTAGTTTACTTTTCCTGCGTCCATTGAGGCGCAGACAAATGCGTGCTCGTAATAAAGCGTGATCAGAGTCTAAACAAGTATTCCAATACGAGCGACAATCTTCTATTGAGCCTCTCCAACGATGACTGATGACAATATGGTCTATTTGAGTCCATCGTTGGTTTGGTGCAGGTGGTCGCCATGTTAGACGATGTCTCTCCTTATGTTTAAAATTAGTGCTTGCCAAAAATAAACGATTGTCTGAGCATAGTTGCATCAGACGATCACCATTATCGGTTCGTTGAGCCGGAATACTAAAACACCCACCTAGATGTCTTTCTGTTTGATTTAAGCTGCCTACCTGGGCATTAAAGTCACCCGCTACGACTACTATGTCTGAGCGCTTAGCTTTCTGAAGAAGCTCAGAGAGCTTTCTGTAAAAGTCATCTTTCACCTCATCATGGCTGCAGTCAGTGGGAGCGTAGGCAGAAACGACGAAAAGGCAACGACGTGTGTCCCTATCCTTCCGAGTTCTTACGGAGCCATTTAGCCGGACAGCACACAGGCGACTGTTAACGGGGATCCATTCTAATAGTGCCTGTTCTGCCCTTGTACTTAGTGCTATACCTACACCTGCAAGTCCACGAGAACTAGCCATCGGGTCGCCAGATACACGGAGGGTGTATTTCGTTGGCTGTCCATTTTGGCGAGGTGAGGTCAAGTGAATGACCACACTAGGATCCTGTATGCGTGTTTCGGAGACACAGCATACATCAATGGTACGCGACTCTAAGGTTTTAGCTAAGGAGGCCTGTTGACCGATTTGACTTAAAGTACGTACGTTGAAGGCTCCAATGTGTAGTTTGGAGCGAGGTTTTAGTAGACCTGGGATAGCGTTTCGCGCACTAGAATCGTTGGCCATGGTGACACTTGAGGAGGAAACCGAGAGAGGAAGTTTTGTGTTGAAAGTCAAGGTAGTAGGAATTGAAGAAGGAGATTGATTATGAATACAGTGGTCTTGAGTGTTGTTAGAGGTATGAGGGCAGTTATCACTTCCCGGTTGCCCACACCGTGGAAGGATTCTTCTAGAGGTACCTGAAAAGGAAATTGGGTTAGAAGTGGTCTTAATGACCTGAGAGCGTGACCGCAGTGCCCAAGGGACAACTGCTTGAGGTCGGTCACACACGACCTTTTTGTGGGTAGTTTTTGTGTTAGCTCCGTTCTTCAAAAAAAAAACCTTACCGCCGGAGACGGATATCCGTGGGATAAGGCGAGGTGTGCATTTTTAGGGTCGACCTTTTCTAACCCCACCCCTCCTTGTGGGAAGGCAGCATCGCTGTCATGCTGGTTGTCTGAAGGAAACACCTTACTGCTTTCACACCTCTGTACAGTCAGCAGTACGACTTCGCCTTCGGACCTTTGGTTTGCTGCTTTTAGTCTCACCGCTCTTCAACCGACCTGTCTGGCATGGTAGGACCTCGAGGAACGATTGTTCCAGCCAGCATAGCTCGATTGGATCATCACGATAGGCAAGCCCGACCACCACGTCAAGGTAGCAGCAACGGTCGGCCTCTTTCGTTTCACCCAAGAACATACTATTGATATAACCTGACGAAGTGGAATGTAGACTACTTTTTAAGTAGTATGTAGATTTGGGACAATTAAACTAAGGTCCTTTATTTCATAACATCTATTCAAACACCCTCAAAGTTCTACACCCGAGTTTACTTCATATGGCAGAAGCCTTGTTTATTTAAAACCCTATTCAAAAAGCAATTTTCTAGATGACTTGATACAACAACCTTGAATGAATCGTATTCCTAAATAAAGCTTGTGTGAAAATTATTATTTAAACTGCTTACCATCAGAACTGTACCCCAGTACACCACCGAAAATAACCAGTACATAATCAACATCTAATTCTTTCATAATTTCATAAGCTTCCTCCTCAGATGATGCCATAGCTTGACCTACACGACCAATATGAGTATTATTCCATGTATTATTGTCCACAAGCACAGTACGATTAGCAATAGCAGTAATCTGATAGCCGTAATCCCACCAAGACATAATTTTAGCATCCTAAGCGGTAAAAGTAATTAACAAAAACACACGTTATTAAACGAAATAAAGACACTTCTATGAACTGTTAAAAAGGATGGAACAACAGAGAACAAACTTAATGGTCCATCTTCATTATGTTGTCACAACTAATAGTAACAATAAAGTCGTAAGGAGATACGATTAGTACTATATATTGTATGTCTAATAGTAGTAAATGTAGTCACAAGTAGAAAATTCATTGCATCGTTGTTAAATATCATACGAATAACTCGGAGAGGGGTTTACTCGTTAAAACACTCGAGTTTCAATTAGTAGGCCGTAGGTTCAAACCCTGCTCAATCACATTGATCCGGACAGCCGGGTATTATTACTAGTAAATATGACTAAAATGCGGCTCAAAAGCGTGCACATAAACCTGTACTCGGTGAGAATGTTAAAATAAAACAAATAGTCGAGTTATCACATGCTCTTATGCAAGAAGAACATGTCTACTATAAAGATTGATGTAAACTTTCTATTTATATCTGGCCACTGCTCAAAAGCACGTTTGGCAAGCAAGCAAATGCTCTAGTACGGCCGAGGGTGAGAAGAGCCTGCTCTTCTAAAAATACCCTCACATGGTCTTGCGTATACAGCCACTACCAGGAAAGTCCTACTCACCACCTTCTCGCGGCAAGGGTGTTGACAAACCCTCATTCCGAACCAATAGTGCACATGGGCTAAAGGATCCTGAAAAAAAAAACAAATGGCGTATGAATCTATTGTTGGTCAATGGTTACCATGGGACTGCATCTCCTGACGTCGCTCCACTACCTTGTGGATTAAACATTTAGGTCAAAAGCTAGGGGTGTAGCCTTCAAAGAAAACCATCTGCTTCGGTCTGGGAACTCGGGCCCTTACATAAATGAATGATTTTTTAGTAGATACCTATTTGGTGCCTCCTTGTACCAATATTTATGTGTTTAAATAAATAAATAATAATGATAAATAAAGCAAGCAAATAGTTTGTTCATTATAAGGCGGCCAAATACAATGAGAACGGTGAAACGTTCGTCTAATGATCCCAGATTTTCAATACTGGTCTGACTTAGATCGGTTCATAATTTAAATGAAATTCACCTAACTCCACACACTCCTACTACTAATACAATGAGTTAGTTTGTTATTAGGCTGTTGGAAATAGTTGGCGGAGAATCTTATTTAACCTAGATTTCGTGACAGTTGACACTCGTCAGCAAAGGATATCTATAATCTTGAGGAAGCTGATACTATCAATTGGATGTGAATCTGTATCATTGAGCTTTACAATCTGAGACGTCACTAATTAGATATTTGAACCATGACTGATCTCTTATTCGTTTATTTTCAACACAATTTTGTGAATGAATTTTTCAGTAACACGATACAATTCCAAGGTTAGTGAATGATCGATTTTAAAAACCTGTTCATCAGTTTCCCAGCTATAAGTTCGAAATTACGGCGAGACTATGTTATAATGGTCCGTCTACTCTTTACACATCACTTCAACTGAATCTTAAATAGTACAAATTGATAATTCTTCTAACTGAACTCTCGAATCGGTTTCCTAAGCTTTTCTAATAAACCCGGACTAAATCTATGCAACAATTCGAACATAGAGAAAAGGTGTGAAGTATGAGAAGAACGCCTTACTCCAAGGTTAGTGTATGAAAAAATTGAACGTATTGTAGTATCTTAAATGGCATTGACCTTCTGGAGGGTTCTGGGACCATACTAAACATGGTAGCAGGATACGTAGTCAGAAATGTGACACGTAACTCTTCACTTGCTACTGAGAAACATCTACTCAACCCTGATTGGAAAAAAATGTTTTCCAGAGTTTTCAGGACCTCTCTCGAGTTTTGCGAGGAATACTTTGGATCTCATTACTAACATTACTAACGAAACAAAATAATGTTCTTGGTAATGTTGAGTGGTCAGACATAAGGGCTAAGGAAAATTCTATCCCTTCAGATGATGTTCTAAATAATAAGTTAAGATTGTATCCAAAAAATGGTACTGAATAGGAATCATTGTCCGATCGTTGCTGCTACCTTAACAGTTTGGGTTTGCCTATCTCAATGAACCAATCGAGCTACAATGTATGGGACAATCGTTCCCCAAGGTCCTACCATGCCAGGTAAGACTAAAAGCAGCAAACTCAAGGTCTGAAGGTGAAGTCGTATTGCTAAATGTACAGAAGCGGGACGGGAGTAAAGTGTTTCTCTCACACAACCAGCGTGACAGAGATGCTACCTTCCCACAAGGAAGGATGGAGTCAGAAAAGGTCGACCCTAAAAATGCATATCTCGCCTTATCCCACGGATTTTCGTCTCCGGTGGTAAGGTCCTTTAAAGAACGGAGCTAACATGAAAACTACTCACAAAAAGGTCGTGTGTGATCGGCTGGGCACCGTGGTCACGCTCTCGAGTCACTAAAATCAACTCTAACCCGATTTCCTTTTCAGGTACCCCTAGAAGAACCCTTCCACGGAGTGGGCAACTGCGAGGTGTTAATCGCCCTCATATCTTTAACAGCACTCAAGACCACTGTATTCATCATCTCGTCGTAGTTTTTGTGGTAATAATAACAATAATAATAACTACTAATAAGAATATTGTGTAAAATAGGAATGACCAATGTATAACTAGGGGACTTCGGATCATAATACTTTATATTGCGTAATATTTCTTAATAAATTATTAAATGACTCCCTCCTTACAAAATATAAATTGAAATTGTTGATTAGATACGATTCTGTAGCTACTGACACATCTCACTCCTTGCTCAGGAATGGGAAATATGAATATAGGCTTGTCAATAACGAACGAAATCTTCCTAAATATATAACCATCAATGAAGGTGTTAGGATATTCATAGGAATATCCCAAAAATTATCTCGAACATAAAGTGGTATGTTTTCAGACTTTTCACATGTTATTTCTTATTGGTCAATATTTACAATTGTCCTAACTATGACTTTCACGTGTCGTTTTCCTATTGGTCAATTTTGACAGTTGTCCTAATTAATCTTTACGTGTCCCTTTTTTTCCATTGGTTAATGTTCATAGTCATCTTAACTATATAAATATGCATTGTTTGTAAATTATTTTTGTTTTGCTTCTAACCCCATAAATAATTCTCATTTAACGGTTGTGTTCTGATTTATTGGAGTTCAGGGAACAATAATGGGGTCGTACTAGGATATCTGAATTTGGTCAGTCGGTAGAACTTCGACTAGTCCTAGCGCAATACGCAATATTTGTCGACGTATTAGAAGGACAGTTAGTTGATATGAAGAAGCCAGAGTAAAAAATGTAGTTTCATTACTAATGACTAAAAAAATCTCAATTTTTGTGAAAAACAAAACAAGAGAAATATGGGAACAATTTCTAGTTAAAAAAAACTTACGGCCTTCGTATTCTCTCTAAGCCAATAATATGCTTCTCTATAATCGTCTAATATATGACGATTACCAAAACTATCTACAGTTTCTAATACAATCGATGGATGAGAATATGACGATGATATAACCCATATACAATGCCTAGTGAATAGTATTAATATAAATAACATAAGCAGAACCATAAATGAAGCTACCTGTAAGGATTGAGAAAAAAAAGCATAGAAGATATGCTGATTTATATTTTTTTTATAGAAAAAAGTTCGATATTTACAAATAATCATTACATTATATAAACATTCCTTTTTGAAAGGACCAAAGATATCCATTATGTCATTGTTCCCGACCGTTGCTGCTACCTTGACGTGGTGGTCGAGCTTGCCTATCGTGATGAACCAATCGAGCTATACTGGCTGGGACAATCGTTCCTCAAGGTCCTACCATGCCAGACAGGTCGGTTGAAGAGCGGGAAGACTAAAAGCAGCAAACCCAAGGTCCGAAGGCGACGTCATATTGCTGACTGTACAAAGGTGTGACAGCAGTAAGGTGTTTCCTTCAGACAACCAGCATAACAGCGATGCTACCTTCTCACAAGGAGGGGTGGGGTTAGAAAAGGTCGACCCTAAAAATGCACACCTCGCCTTATCCCACGGATTTCTGTCTCCGGCGGTAAGTTTTTTTTTGAAGAACGGAGCTAACACAAAAACTACCCACAAAAAGGTCGTGTGTGACCAACCTCAAGCAGTTGTCCCTTGGGCACTGCGGTCACGCTCTCAGGTGATTAAGACCACTTCTAACCCAATTTCCTTTTCAGGTACCTCTAGAAGAACCCTTCCACGGTGTGGGCAACCGGGAAGTGATAACTGCTCTCATACCTCTAACAGCACTCAAGACCACTGATGTCATTGTTATTGAGTTCGATATTTTCGTGACAATTTTTGAAAGTATCATTTGAATATTTTGTAAAGATGGAAACTATCAATGGTGCATCTAAGTAGAGTTTCTAAGATTGACTGTGAAACAATCAGTTAAAAGTAGGCCGAATGGTGATTCCATTTCTACTCCACCTGTTTGTCGGTAAAATCATTACTAAATGTAAACTGGAAATTAAAAGTGTATCAAGGAAGTAACTGATTCGGATAGCGTTTTCAGACAGCCGCTGCTTTTTTCATCAGTGACAGAAGAAGGATCTAGCGCAGGTTTTAATTCGAGTTACGACACTTCACATTAATACAGAGACGACATCTACATGGTAAAAGGAGTACAAGAAATAATATCAAGCGTAGTGGAAAACCATACACGAATGAACGAGTGGCACGGAAATTAAGATTTATAAGGATATTAAGAGTGAGTGCAAATGTAGTAATCCAAATGATCTTCAGACTACGACTTATAAAGGTTACCCTAACGAAACTAGATGGTCTTGCCTGTGACCTAGTAAATGATAGTACTTTATTATCAGAATGTGTTTTAACCAGAAACAAAGAGATATCAACTTACTGTATTTTTGAACGGATAAGTTGAGTCTTGCACTAAATTTTTATAAAGTTTATTACTATTTGGGATAGATGGATGTCCATTAGCTGCGGTAAGTTTACTTGGCGTTTTTGTACTTTGACTATCTGGTACATTAAGATTAACTGAAAATGACTTCAAAATTCCAGAAACTCCGATTGCACCCAAAATACACATTATCGGTGCTAATACTAAGATAAGCCGAACCATAACACCCTAGAAAATTAGAGAATATATTTGAAAACAACCATATTATATAAACTATAGTTCAGGGAACTAGGTTTTTCATTAACTTATTACGTAGCGCTAGGAATAATAAAATTGGGGGAATAATTTATTATAATTCGTTAAAACATACAGTGAATGCAATAGATATTTATTAAAAGGAAAATCACAGTTACAAATAAGCAATATGGGACACTATTTATAGTATATGCTCCATATAAAGTGTCATAGAACGACCGGAGATGGAGAGAATTTACTTTTGATGTCAGTCCTTTTATAAAGATCCACCTAGGGGGATTGGAAAACCCTCATTCCGAACCAACGGTGTATATGGGCTCTAGGATCCTAAAAAAACAAATGGCGTATGAACCTATTGTTGGTCACCGGCTACCATGAGATTGCATCTCATGACGTTGCTCCACTACTTTACGGATTAAAAATTTAGGACAAAAGCTCGGGGTGTGGCCTCCTAAGAAAACCACTTGCTTCGGTCTGGGAACTCGGGCAGTAATCCCAACCCTCACATAAATCGAATGATTCTGTGGTGAATATCTATTTGGTGCCTCCTTGTACCCATGTTTATGTGTTTAAATAAATAAATAAATAAATAATCACTAGCGATTACTAAAAATAATGGTAAGTTTGAAGGTACTGGGTTTGAGTCCCAGAGTGAACATCAACTCTGAGATGCAGGTACATCCAGCCGACGAGTCCCAAATAGGACGAAACGCGCGTCCTGGATTCCACTGCTAGCTGCTATTCATCTTCGCTTACAATAGTAAGTCAGTTATAGTTCAGCAAAAGACCTGATCATGATAGATAAGACAGTGGGTTAGTTGCTAAACTACCTAACCCTAACCGATAGATTACAAGTTTGAAGCCTGATTAACTATAGTTCGAATTTATTTTATTTATTTAAACACATAAATATTGGTACAATGAAGCACCAGATAAATATGCGCCGCACAAATCTCACTCGATTTGTGTGAGGGCTGTGATACTGCTCAGATGCCCAGACTGAAGCAGGTGGTTTTCTTAGGGGGCCACACCCGGAGCCTTTGACCTGAATGTCTGATCCACAAGGCAGTGGAGCATCGTGAGGAGATGCAGTCCCATGGTAGCCGGTGACCAATGACAGGTTCGTCCGCCATTCGTTCCATCAGGATACTGGAGCCCATGTGCACCATTGGTTTGGAATGAGGGTTTTCCAACTCCCCTAGGTGGACTTTCCGTGTCCACCAACCCGGTTAAAGCGCCGGACATTCGCTTTTCGTCCTCTCACTTTCGTAAACAACACCCCCGCCACGAGAAGGCAGTGAGTAGGACTTCCCTGGCAGAGGCTATATATTCGCTGGCCATATGAGAGTATTTCGAGAGGGAGAGGTGACTCTCCCGAGTAGTATCACTACCCTTACACCAGTGAAAAGATTGCAACAAAAAAACCAATAATTATGATACCCATTAATAACAAATAATTATTGCAACTAACCGAAAAGTAAACGCTTGTAATGCCATATATTATTGCAAAGATACTAGCATCTGTCAATTTCCGGAAGCAATAGTATAAACCCACTAAAAATCAAAAAAACATTGTTATTAGCATGCCAAATGAAGTTTTTTTTAACTTACCAGGAAACATTACCGTTAAGAAATGAAGATCAAAATAATAACAACTCCAAGCGGTTGGCTGATGTTCAGCTACAGAAGCAATAATTGGAATATGATTCTTAGCATAAGTTGGGTCCAATAACGAATAGAATCGTCCAGTCCAAGGTGATATTTTCCCTGAATTATATAAATAACTTAGCCATTAACTTTATAAAATATAAACAGTTACAAAACTAATATATATATATATATATATATATGTAAGCTCATACCACGATCAAAATAGAATATTGAATAACCCGAAGTACAACCATTTTCTGTTTACCACCATAATATCAACCCTAAATCCACTTTTCATACTGCAAGCTTCACACAATATCAATTATTTTAAACTGATTTCAAACAAGAGCTTTGTAGAAAACATAGTAATGAAACCAAGTACAGGCTTTTTTATGAGGTTTTAAGCTACACTCAACCAAGTTGAACAACGTTCATGGTGATGACCTAATCCCCAAAGGTCGGATCCATCAACCATCACGCTAACATACAAAAGCTTACTATATCATATTCTACTACAAGAAAAAACGGAAATGTTTTACTGAAACCTTAGAAATTCGTATTTTAATTGTAACTTTGCCTTTTTGAGGCCCTATCGTATTGTCGACGTTTTCTTGCCATTACCTTGTCTATCTGATCTGACAACCTGGATTGATGTAATGAGTGTTAGTAATTAAAAACTTTCTCAACGCTAAGATTTGAACACAGTTGTCTGATCGTCTACCCACAAACTAGTTAAATATATCATGAGTGATTTCTCCGAAAAATGAATATATTAGTTGATGGCCAATGATACACATAAAAACATCGACTGAACGTGAAGTATCAGTTAGACTTAGTTAATATTGCCACACAGACAATAAACTGTTTTGTAATGAATCTCATTAATATGTTAGTGTTTTATTTTTAGTTGTTACATTGACCTGTACAATTTCTAACTAAATACCAGTCATTCCTAGGTTTTAATGTGAACGTTCATTTACATTAACCATCATAAACCCGGACTCATAAAGAACTAGTTGGTACACCATAAATTAATTTCTGATTACTGGTGAACAGCAATTAATCTTCCATTTATAAAAAAGTATGCAATAAATATGAACAGATGAAGTTCTCAACGCAGTAAGTTTAAGAGAAATCAATGCTTACCTGTAGCTGACAACACAGAACCGCCAATCAACGCTATACCAAACAATGATAAACCAAAAACACGCAAAACTGTTGACAGTTGTTCAGAAGATAAAGTCCCACGAAGGTACGTATAAAAGGAGAAAAGTTGACATAATCCAAACACCCCGAAAGCCTAAAGCTAAAGTGGCGACAAAAATGAAAAACTTACTCCTATATGTTCACTGGATATTACAGGGGCAAAGCCAACAAAACTAATCTGCATTGACAGTATGGTACCCAGAACGTAAACCTATAAAAAAGCTCGTTTACACAACTGATATTACAGTAGAGTAGGCAGAATAAACACGACTTGAAAATCTTCCAGTAAGCATGAGTATTAATACATGAATAGGTATGATGTTTATTAAAAATACGTATCCACCCCAAGAGGAAACCTAGAATCAGTAAACGTGAAAATAACCAACATACCATGTAAAAGTACGCTAAGCTGCAAGCGCAAGCCCAGAACAGGTAACCGGTTTTAACGGCTTTAATCCACAGATAAAACGTAAATATCATGCAGAATATGGCGATTCCTTCGTTATCATAAGAACCTGCAACTGATCGGCTAATGTAACCAGGTACAATTGCAACCAAAGCAGCAGCTATTAGGCCAGAACTAGTGTCCTGAATCTCACTTGTCAGTAAAAAGGTTGCTAAAGTTGTAAAACTGTGGAGATAAATTACTATACAATCTCACCTTGAAAACAAAGGTGCCAAAAATACACATATATTTCGTATATCCATGGTAACATTTATAGCATGAAGTAGTGAGTATATAAAAGACGATGTCATCATAAGTCCTGTGAAATATCTTGAATATCTCATAAACTTACCAGGATATATAGTACCTCCAATGATCCTTCCGAGTGGATACCATGCCATATCATCGAACCAATCATGAAATTGGTAAAATCCATTGTCAGTCATAAAACGTGTAGTGCGATAATTAAAATAAGGATCAAATTCATGAATAACTGATTCGAAACGAATAACAGAGTACAGCCTAACAGCAAAAGCTTGATCATAATTGGAAATCAACAACAACCTACCTAAGATAGCAGCAACACACACCACAAACAGTTGCAAAAGGATAGCCTGCTTTTCGTTGCTGATGCGTAAAAGCTTAGCCACATCCATCTAAAACAAGTTTAGCACAGAGAAAGCTGTGACCAAGATCAATTAGTGCGATAAATGTATTACATTTAGTAAGGTAGAGTGACAGTAGTGAACATGAATTTATTGAAAACGGAAAAATTATTGAGGGTTAATTTATAAAGCGATATGCAACTGTTTTATACGACGAATGAACAAACTACGGCTAAGCATACAAAAACTAGATAAAGAAACACCAAAAAATAACAATGATACACTTGGGGCACAAAGTATTTTATGGACGGTTGATGTCACATCAAAAGCGTAGATGAGGGAAAAGTAACATATTAAAATAAATCCAAGGGGATACATGGTCACGGATTAGTGACAACTAAAATAATTCAAGGAATACCAAAAACAAAAAATAGTAGGGACTACTGGAGGATATATTTAATAAACCTGATCTATTCCTGGAGCCTAATTAAACTAGTTTAACTGGTAGTTAATTCGTGAATACAACCAAACAGTTGTTGTAACACCAAACAGTCTAACAACTGTAAACTTACTCTAAAGAAAATCAAAAAACCCATTAAAAGTGAGGCCATCGACAACTATGTTGATAACTATTTTTAAATTTACTTTGAATACTATGTATCGTCCCGAGCATGTGTCCAGTAAGGACAGCCAACGTTGAGAACATGCCATACGCGCCGTTAGAACTAGTACTAAATAATGAAATGACTAGCTAGATTACAAAACAAGTCAATAAAAACGAGAAAACTCCAGACCAACAGGTCTGAATCTATTCATGTCACTATATCTACCCCGAAATACATCAATGTCGTATTATTAGATTGTGGGTAATTGTCATTACGTCAATAGGCTTTTCCGGATAATGGATTATCTTGGGGGTTTTCTGAAGGACGTCAACGGTTTGCCCAAAAGTTCAGGCAAGTGTTGGCAAGAATCCGGAGTGTGCAGGATGTCAGTTAGACTATAATTTGTGGACGATCTTTGAGCGACACTAAAAGATCTTGAGGGTTAAGAACAAGCGTGAGGAATTAGGATTAATATTTAAAGTTGACAGTTAGAACTAAGAATCAAGTTTAAGGTTTTCATTACGAATTGACATCAGCTGTAATGCCAAAACTACTCAGCCAAACGAATGGATTAATTTTTCTTCGAAATTCAAGATCTGTTATTGTAAATTTGATTGGTTCGTCCATAAATTGTAGTCTTGTTAGAATGTCCCCTAAATGCGAAAAATATTAGGGTTTAACCAATAGAACATAGATGAGTCTCCTTAAATTTGTCCGAAGTTCTGGGGAAATATTGTGGAAGACTCAAAGTCTCCAAAAATTTTCCTACAGTGGCTTCTCTAAAGTGGACGAAATTTTCCCCAAAGTAGGGAGATTGGGTTCAATTACACACTGTTTTACCATGCAAACTCGTCAGCTGTGGCCACACCACCGTTTGATTTAAAATAGATGAGTGGTATTCATAGGCAGTGACATGTTTTCTAACACTTTCACGGGTTAGTGAACAATTAAATATCTGAAACTTAGCACGTAGTCAAAACAAACCAAAAGTACTGATATGGAGTGTATCGAGATGATTAACCCTTTAAGTATAGTTCGATATGGTGCCAAGGCCGACTATTCCGGAATTGCCGCTCATAACCGACGTCATCTGACTGGAACAGTTAAACACTATTGAGAATGCCCTCATTAACATTATTTTAATCACTCAAAATTTACATCACTCAATGTGAGTAGGAAATTTTGTTGGGCTATTCATATTAGGGATTCTGATGTGAGTTAGTTTTCAGTTGAATTTTACTGCGATTTCCAGACTGAACTTATCATGCTCTTAGAATATCAAACATTCTCAGAGATGACTTATAATTTTAAGTGACTTCCGAAAAACTAGTCCTGTATACACTCCAGAATGGAGCCGAAATTGTTAACAGATCGTCGTTATATCGAAACACTGTCTTGTTGAACGGTTCTCACATACTCATTCACATTAGTAATCTCACTGACTGCTTGCCTTTAACACCAGTCATTTGTATTGCTTCCTTTCACCACTGACATCTGCAGTCTTCAGCAGTAAGGACAAGAGGTCAATCGACATATATAAATCATTGTAATTTGTATTACTGTAGAGATACTGGCATTACATTTTCTGGCAGAGAATCTCATTAATCCACTATTCAGTGCGAGAAACGGAATTTCAGATGTAAACAATTTAATCGCAGCTTTTGAACTTTTTTAGAATGTCTTCTGAGATAATCAATCCTAGATAGAAATAAAAAGAAATATATATTCGAAGATCATCGTTCGCTATGCAGTAAGCCAGTATTAGACAGTCCTGTAACCTTCGGTAAGATTTAGGAAATAGGTTGAGGTGTCTAAGTCTGTTTTAGTAAGATAGACCAGAGAAGCTTTTCGCCATTTTGGTGAGTCGCCGTTCAACACGTTCTAGCACATCCACGTTATACCAGAAACAAGACCCCGCAAACCGAATCCTATATTAAAAATGCGGTCCCAAAGAAGTCAGGTATAATATCCAAACAATGAAATAACTGATGAATAGATCATAACACCCTTGAGTCTTTGTATTGCCAGTTTTTCAATTACTTGTAATTATGAGTTAGTTGCTTTTTATGACTTTATAACAACCTAGGTTGATTGATTAAGAGTTTGCTGCAAACATCTAAGTAAATGTCAGAACATTAAAGCTCAGGTATTCATCCACTTTCTTATTTTGCATAGGGATTATACTTCCTATAATTTTGCATTAATTGTCAAGAAGATCTATATATTCGAAAAATTAACCTCATACCCCACTAAACCTTCCAGGCTTTCAAGGTAGAGACCCATTCATTACTAGTCTGGTTTCTCCTGTCGGTGGAACGATGGGTAATTGCAGATAAAAAAAACTGGTGAGCTCTATTTTGGACACAAATTTAATTTTCGTTTTGACTATTATCATTTCTTCCTTGGTCGCAAAAGTAGACATTTTGATCATCCTTCAGATAATTTTCGTATTTTATTAATACATATTGCTTTTCACTTCATATTATTCATGTTGTAGTTATTGCTTTACCGAGTTCTAATCGTTTTAAGTGTTTATTAACATGCGCAGAAAGATTTAAGAGGTTCCTTATAGCCATACCGATCACAGACATCATGACTGAAACAGTGGCCAAGGTTTTCATGCAGAACTGGGTGAAAATGTTTGGTACACCTATAACAATAACTACTGATAGGAAAGCAGAGTTTGAATCTGAACTATTTAACAACTTAGTTAAACGTCTAGGCTCCAATAGAATACGTTGCACTGTATGTCACCCCTAGGTCGGCTCTCTGAGCTAAGATCATGTGTAGTATCATGTGTAATGTTCCCACCGTCAACTAAAGGTCCCCCGTATAGCACACTAGAACCCCAATGAGTGGACAGAATCCCTGCCATTAGTTATGTTGGGAATACGAACAACTACCAAAGCTGACTAACAGTGTTCAGCGGTGGAGTTAGTTTTCGGAACGACTCTGAGACTACTGGGTGAGTTTAGTAACTCACATACCTACAGTAAAAAGCTTGATTTAGACAGTTACGAGAGTATATGTTCAAACTTAAACCAATTAATACTCGTGAACGATGGCGAGCTACATGTGTACTTAAGGACCTTAACAAGTGCACGCACGTCCGGATAAGGTGTGACAAAATAAAAGTACTACCCAGCCCTCCAATCGTAGGTCCTTTCAAATATAAACGTTTTGCGATACAAAAACAAAGAAACTTTGACTAGTAAATGTTGATAGGCTAAGATCACTTTATCTGGGTCATGAACCACAATGTGTGTTGTTGGACCGTTTACCTGACAAAGCAATCACGGAATCGACAAGTGAGAACGAGAATTCTTCACGGGTGACCAGAAAGGTTAGATGGATACAGTCGATTATTCAGTCAGAGATACCTACAGTTCTGGCTCCAGCCTACTAAAATTTCGTGTTTGTTCAAATAATAAAAACAAAAAAATGAAGACCTATTTTTTCCGTACCGTTTCACAGACTTTATTTTTTAAAAGTATCACCAAAATAGTAGTGGTCCAAAGTAATAACTTACCTGCCTCTCTTCATGCCTTTTACTTTTGGTGTATGATAGTTATATTCATTTTTTAAACTGATTACACAGACGATTTATCCCCCGACAATCCGCCGAGTAATACAAATAGAAAACACCATATCAGCATGAGTGTCACAAAGGAATGAAGAATCTTCCATTGAGGTAAGTGATGTGATTATACTTTCCTAGCAGTGTCTGTATACTCGTGGCCATGTTAGAGCATTTTGAAAGGGAGAGTGGATTCCCCCCACCCTCGGTCGTACTAGGACATTCAGGGGCATAAGCCGCTTCGGAACTCTCTATGTGTTGCTCCTCTTATTAAAAAAATCAGGATCACTAAATAATAATCACATACTTCGGCAGCTTTGAAAGTGTACTTCATTATTATAGCCTTGAAAGGTGCCGGGGAATTCTGTGGCTGAAAATCAAGCTCAGTTTCTGTTTCATGGTCATACAAACCATGTCAACCTCTGCGATGAGCTTTCAGTTTCCTTAAATTAGCTCTCCATTCCAATTCTGGATGTCCATGTCAACGACCAAATAATCACCACGATTAACATGAAGTTGATTTCCGGAATTACGTTTAATAGCATGAGTTCTCAGTTCAGGTATGAAATCTATGACTTTCTGATATTTTACTTTATGGAGTTTAAGTATATCACTGTATTGGAAACCACTGCACATCAAATGACTGGGGAATATTTTTTTGAAAGGTTCGCAAGTATTGGTGTAGTGAACATGAACACGACTGGGGTCAACCGAATCCACTTGAACACAAAACTGTACTGTCTCACCAACTCTGACAGTCATACAGTAAACAGTTAATTTGCAAACTATCAATCAATTGTCTCAATCTTCACTGTTTCTTCTACAAATATCAGTTCATCGTCTCTGATTTCATTGCACATGCGTTTCATTCGCGGTCGTTCGTTATCGATCTTCTACTGAAATATATCCTATACCTGACCATCGTTACATATTACTTATGTGGATGTAAGTAACCTGCACCACATAGGGACCTCACGATGATTCTTAAGTCTGTTCTTTAAAATTCAGGATAAGGCTAAGAATATTTTTCACAATCAGCTTACTCTACGAATACTAATGGAAAATTGGCAGATTACGTGTCAAACTATGATTGGATGAATGTTTATTCTGCTACTTAATTTATCATGTTTCCAAAAGGTTTCAGAGTTTGACAGTTAATTATAAACTTACAAGCAAGCGTGCTTCCAGTACACAAGTGAAGTTTAAAGTAAAACGTTTACTCATACGATGGACCCTTCAGACTGACCATTTACTTACTGGAGTTGAACAGGGATGGTTCGAGTGTTTGACCTACTTAGTCTTACAATAAGATTACATCAGTGACAATTTTCTGGGCTGGATTACCTTAACATAGTAATTAGACTATCCTAATTCCTTACTATCCATTGTGAATAAAGCGATTCATATTTCATGAAAGATCTTTTGGGACACAAGAAGAATGGAGAAGCATAATCTACAAAAGAATCGATTACTATATGCTTCGATTTCACAAAATGTAACAATGAGTGCAGATTAGTCGTTCTTGACATTGACGAGGCTCAGTAACTAAGTATTCTAAGGTAAAGATCCCTTCACCTTGATGGACAGAATAGCTAAGGTTTGGTGAGATCTAATAAATACTTTTGGATTTGCTTCAAAGATTAAAATGGTTATTGTGAACAATAGGAACAAGCCACTGGAGATCAAGATAGTCTTTTGGAGTTCGTAGCCTGTGTATATTTCGTCTGAGGGCGATAAAGTAGATGAAATGACAGATAACGTGCAGACGGATGATTGATGTTTTAGGCCTATATTGACGAGTCAACCGAGCCCTATTGGCTGGAACATATGTTCTTTTATGTCCTACCATGCCAGACAGGTCGGTTGAGGAAGGGTCGATACGTTCCACTATTGAGTGGAAATCGTCACTAAACATCAGTATTTTTGAATCTGAGAAAAAAAATTAACAGTGTTGATGGAAATAACTTATGGAACACTAATAGTCAAGAAAATCCCCGACATCATACGAAATTCATACGATGGACTACACTACAAGGTCATGAATGGAGGGCAGCTGACAGACGCATTCCCAGTAAGTACAGGAGTAAGACAAGGCTGCTTACTCTCCCACCTTTCGCCTTCCTTTGGTGGTTGACTGGATTATGAAGATCACCATATCTGAGGGAAAGAATGTAATAAAATGGACAACTTGGATGCAGCTAGACGAACTAGACTTCACTAGACTTCTATCCCATACACACAAACAAACGCAAGTCAAGACAACCAC